GCAACTGAAGGTTAAATGTAAGCAAACATGCAACTCAAAGCCGTTAGTTCGTCCATTGGAGAGTAATTGTCTAGTCCCAACATTGATTTTCAGTATAATTGTGTGGTTGAATTATCTGTGGCTTGTTGAATTATCTGTGGCTTTTCCTATCAGCGAAATGCATTCAAGTTTTACAGGAAATTTAAATTCAAGGCTGTTCGTGGTGTTTTTACACTTAACTGTATTATCATATGTGTACCCACCTTATAGTTCCCGCGTCAGGGCATGCAGCAGACGCAGCAACAGCAGCAGACGGCCGCTCTGGTCAGACAACTGCAACAGCAACTCTCAAGTCAGTCAGATTCTCCTTCGCTTATCGTCTCATCTTCTCACACGTCCTCTTTATAACCAACTTTTTTTTTTGTTTTAAATAGATACACAACCAGGACAGAGCACCAATTCATATTACTGACCCTGACAGTGCATAGCTGTGATCGCGTATATGTGAAGAGGCACAAACCCAGTGGGAGGTCCGATGCTGATGGCGAGAAAATATCTTCACATCGCTTTATGGAGGCCAAGATAGAAATGGAAAAGTCTATGTAAAAAAAAAAAAAAATGAAAGGATAACAATAATGCATTTTTTCTGTATTTTATTTCACTTTGTACATTTTTTTTCAGTTTTGTGTAATTCTCATTAAATCATGTCAAGTTTTTGTCTTGTAACGTCTTGTTTGCGACCTGTATTCTGTATTTAAGTTAAATCTGAAATGAAAACTTTGATAAAACCAACAGCAAAACGTTTTTTTTTGTTTCAAATAGACCAGAAAATGGTTGTAATTTTTTTTCTTGTTTGTTTATTTAGACACTTTTACCTTTACAATTACAAATAACTAAGCCATAAACTCATGTTTGTACAGGCTCAATGGTCGCAACATTAGGTGCACCTGCACAATAAACATTCAACCTTTTATCAAGACAATTCCCAGCCATGTTTGACAGAATCACAGACATGTTAATTTGTGCTGTTTTTAATTTGTTGCAGATTGTCCACTCAGGGGTCCTGTCAATGATGACATGAAATTATTCAAGCCTCCCATTCAATGTCATGAATACAGTGTATTTGTATTTAAGGTTTAAACCATTTTTTAAAACTATTATAGTAATGTAATTTTGTATTTTAAGTTAAAACTATTCTTTGTGACAATTATGTCACCATTTTGATTGTTAGGTCCAACTTTTGTGCGGGGAAATAGCCTAACAATTACTTGTGATGGGGAAGTGAAACGTTCAAATTTGCTTGATGAACTACAGGAGTTGTATTTTTGACTCCTCTAGATGTCACTGTTGGTGTAAATAAAGGGGTTGAAGAACTGGCAGGTCTGTGTACTTTCAGCACAGAGTTCCATCTAGAGAATTCAAAAAACTGAAGCAAATTTGACGCTTCATTTTAATAACAATTACTGCAAAGTTGACATTGTAGTTAACCACTTACTACTGTACTAATTGTACCGTTTATTTTTTTTTCTCTCCCTTTCGATAGGCACTTCCATTACACATCAAAGAATACCTCAGAAAATGTGTGACGAAGAGACATAGGTAGGTGTCCAATGTTGTGATATCAAGGCAGTTTTTACTATTTTTTCCCCTTTTCATTCAGTGTTCTATTAACCCGCCATGCATGTTTTTGGAATGTTGGAGGAAACCGGAGTACCCAGAGAAAATTTTGTTTTTTTTCTTTTCCTAGACAAACACGTTTTCATTTGAGAGTGTGGGGGGATTGTGTGACCCAATGGCGCTAAATTGTCTGGGTCTTTCGGCCCTTGGCAAGGTCACCCATGGCAAACAGGTCCTCCATGCTCAGAGACCCCTTATGACAATTGAGAAATTTGGATCACGTTTTTCCTTGCCCGGACGTGGGTTACCAGAACCCGCCACTAGAGCCTGACTAGGGCCTGCACCTGAAAAGCCAACATGGCTCACCGCTTCCCATGGGCTCACCACCTGTGGGAGGGGCCAAAGGAGTCCGGTGCCTTATGAGGTAGGTGGCGGCAAAAGACAAGGACCTTGGCCGTCTGATGCCTGGCCACAGAAATTACCTCTTGCGACGGGGAATGTCACCTCTCTGACAGGGAAGGAACCTGAACTGGTGTGCGAGGCATAGAAGTTCTGATGAGATATAGTCGGGCTTGCCTCCACGCACAGCTTAGTCTCTGCTATCAGTCATCTCGATAGGGGTTGGACACTCTTCCGCTCTGGAGTTGCCCAAGGTGGTGAGGGGCGCCCCAGTCGATGAGAGGGTAGTCTCCCTCCGCCTTCGAAGGGGGGGCAGGTCCTCAATGTTGTTTGTGCCTATGCACCAAACAACAGTTCAAAGTACCCACCCTTCTTGGAGGGTGTGCTGGAGAGTGCTCCCCCTAGGGGCGAATCATTCTGGTGGGGGGGGGGGGGACTTCAATGGTCACGTGAGCAATGACAGTGAGGCTTGGAAGGGCATGATTGGGAGGAATAGTCCTCCCGATCTGAACCAGAGTGGTGTTCTGTTACTGGACTTCATGTAGACTGGTTCACCCAAACAGTCGACATGTGTTTTTTGGACTTGGAGAAGGCGACGGTGTCCCTCGGGGAGCTGTGTGGCCAGGACTTCGGGAGTATGTTGTGCCAAGCCCCCTGCTACGGACTTGGGTCCCTGTACCAGTACCACCTATGTCACAGTTTAGTCCGCATTGCCAGCATTCACACAGCCAAGGCTGCCCTTTGTCAACAATTCTGTTCATAACCTTTATGGACAGAATTTCTAGGCGCAGCCGAGGCGTTGAAGGGGTCTGCTTTGGTGGCCTCAGTATTGCATCTCTGGTTTTTGCAGATGAAGGTGTACTGATGGCTTCTTCGAGCCGCGATTTCCAACTCTCACTGGAGCAGTTCACTGTCCAGTGTGAAGCGATCTGGAAGGACAGTCAGCACCTCCAAATCTGAGACCAGAAGTGCCCTATCCAGGTTGGGGATGAGATCCTGCCTCAAGTGGAGGAGTTTAAGTATTTTGGGATCTTGTTCACGAGTGAGGGTCAGATGGAGCACGAGTCAGTTGAGTGAATCTCATTTTACACAAAACTTATCTCAAAAGAATTCCAACATACCATCATAAACAGATGTTTAATATACAAAGGTTGGCTTTCTACAACGCACATTCATTCATATGCAGTCAATATTTGGAGCCCCTTTAGCATAAATAAAGAACACATAACCACTTGTCTTTTATCGTCGCTTTTTCACTTGTTGTATTATGTTACCCAAAAGACTGAACAATGCTTCGATTTCTGGATCGTCTCAGGCATCGATCGATGTCTCTTGTTCAGTGGTTCTTACCCTGGGTTCGATCGAACCCCAGGGATTTGATGGAGCCTCTGCCATGGAGGTTAAGACACACCCGACTCAACATGTCAATTAGTTATGACACGCCCGCCTGGCCATCACTGGCTGCAGATGATCACATTACATTGCTTGTCCAATCAGTGCTGCCGGTTGTGGTCATCCCTCGTGTGAATTTTTTATGTTTTAGTACATGCTAACTATGTCGAGCAAAAAAAGAAAGTGGTCAGACGAATTTGTACAACATGCGTCACAAAACGGGATGGGACTCAGCGTCCGATCTGCATGATTTGTCACCCCAAGTTGAGCAACTCTAGTCTCGCACCGGCAAAACTAAAGTAACACTTCTTGAATCCTATTTTTATTTTTCAGTTAAGAGTTCGGTGAATGTGCATATGAACTGGTTGGGTTCGGTACCTCTCACAAGGTTAAGAACCACTGCTCTAGTTGCACAATGCGCCACACACAAATAAAAAAAACAACCCTCTATACATCAATTTGGGGAAAAAGCAACAACATCAATGTACTTAATTCGGACAGGTATATCGGTTGCACATGATTAAAAAGTGGTTAACTGATGTAATTTTCTACTCTTTTCCTTGAAAATATTTAAATGCGATATGTGAGTTCAAGACAATGTTAGTCATGTTCTACTGATGTCCATGTCTGTATTAAGTAAACCCAGTGGATTTTTTTCCCCAGTGTACTCTACAAATGTAGCTGATTGTGTTGCTGCAGCACAGCTTCAGACCCCAAGTGGGTCGCCACGCTTGGAGTTCGAAGCCTTTGACTGAGAAGTCACCAGCTTGGAACCAGCTGCACTGATTACTATGCTAAAACATCCCCGTCACCAACGAAGCAGCGAGTAGCTTTTTTATTTAAAGATATTAATGTAGTCCATTATAGGCCAGTTTGTCACATTTTAACCATGCACAACCAATGTACGCAAATTACGTAAATTGAATAGTCAATTTTTTTTCATTACAGCCACATGTGCATTCCTCAATTGTGTCCCTCTGTATGAGCGCGCAAGTTGATAGGTCGGATTTTTTTTTCGTACACTATTTTGGGATTTTGTACGTGTGTACACTTTTAGTTTGAATCCTATGCACTCTTTGATAAGTGAGAGCCCACATCATTTTCTCATGAACCCAGGTTAGATGCTTCTGAGCTCTGACGTACTGTTTGTTTCAGGAGTAGTTTGACAGCACACACCTGCGTTAGCCAATTTCCTTGACACCTCTTTTCACAGTGGGTGTTAATGTACTGGCTCTTGCCTCAGTCAACTCCTTGTGAAAATCCCACACATATTTTAGTGGGGTTTGTTATTCTCAAAGCTCTGGTTCTGCCTGTTGCAGTTTGTACTTCCAGTCAACATTTTATGGCTTTGCTTTGATACAGAACTCTGAGAACCAGCAGCTTCTTCAACAACTTTTTGTCGCCTGCCTTTCTTGTGGAGGTTGTCAATGGTCCTCTGGACAACAGTCAAGTCAGCAGATGTCCTCATGATTGTGGAGGCGCCTGACTAGTCCATCTTGGGAGTCAATTTTGAGATATTGAGTTGTTATTAGTTACCAGATATAATTCAGCACCGTCTTTAAGGCAAATGGCCTCCCCCACTGAGTTTGTGTTTGAGGGTTCTTCCTGAGTTCTTTTTTCTAGTTTTCGCGACCTTGTGCTTATTCGCGTGTGGTTTAGGTGGTTTCCTTAAATGTGTGGAGAGTGTGGTTCAAAACTCGGTCCTTATGTAAACTGCCTTGAGATAATCGTCTGCTTTTTAATTTTCTTTGGTTTTTGCTCATCTCCAGTGGGACTTTCCAGACGATTAAAAAGCACTCCTGTATCAGGTCCTAGTGTTCTCCCTTGGAAGCGGCAGTCTTTGCCACTGTAACTTGGCAGGAAGTCCAGGTCGCTCCAGTTCCTCTCGTCAGCTCGCACGCCGAGTCTGGACAGCAACTTGTCGGCTACTCGCGGCACGACAGGCTGCAGGAGGGTCCCGTAAATCCTCAGACATTCCAGAGTGACATGGATGATTGTGTCCAGCCAACGTTGGTCTCCGCTGTCCATCCTGTTCAACTTCCAAGGTGTATGCCGTTGAACGAAGCCGTTGGTTTGTCTAACACAGGAAGTGATGGCCTCCAAGGCTTTGTATACGTGCAGGCTTTCATAATGACGCTCCACCAACGTTGGGAGGTTTCGCACAGCATCCAGCAGGTGGTAGTCTTCTGGCACCGCCCTACCATCCCGCTCATTTGGGAAAAACAAAGGGCAGAATGGTGGGTAGGTCTGTGTTAGGTTGAGCGCGGGAGCGGTGCAGCGGTTGAGGAGGCCACCCAAGGAGTCAGCCAGCTCCGCGTTGAGCACCTTGGTGACTTTGTGATCTGCGTAGTCACAGTCGGAATCAGGCACGCCTTGACGCAGCAGGAAGTACCGCAAACCGTCGGTGGTGAACGCCTGCGAGCGCTCAAAGGGGTCCACCACGTTGCCCAAACTTTTCGACATCTTGGTTCCATTGACTGTCCAGTGTGAGTGCACGTGTATGGACTGCGGCGGCGGCAGTCCCGCCCCAAGGAGGAAAGACGGCCAGTAGATGGTGTGGAATTTCAGGATGTCTTTGCCGACGATGTGGCGGGCCACGCTCCACCAATGATTGTGGTTGTCGGGGTAACCAACTACCGTGAGGTAGTTTACCAGAGCATCCAACCACACGTAGATGGTGTGCTCAGGATCCCCCGGGACGGGAATCCCCCACTGGAGGCGGCTTCTTTGGCGGGACACAGAGAGGTCCGGAAGGTCATCCTGCAGCCACTGGAGAACATCTTGGAGGAACCGCTCGGGCTGGATAGCTCTGGGGTTTTTCTGGAGCCAGTCAAGCAGTGGAGTCCGAAATGCTGACAAACGGAACATGTAGTTCTCCTCTTTCAGCCATTCCACCTGACAAACAGGTAGATAGAGATATGAACATTTTTCATTAACCAAAAATAGGCATTCCAACAGTAGAGCTGCCATTTATTCAGCAGGGATAATGCATTTGACTGCATTTGCTGGATTGACTATGAGGAAAATAAACAATAATTTCTTGATATGATGGTAATGGGATAGGAGATTCTCTTTTCATGTTTTGAAACTTGCTTCCATGCCAGTATTGTATCAATCCAGCAATTCATTCCAGTTGAAAGATTTAAGAAGAAAGTTACCGGTAATAAAAAAAGTTTGCCCATATTTGTTAAAAAATGGTAGAGACAGATTTGTTTTTTTCCCCCCCAACATACAACTGTCAAGTGCTATTGTAATGATTCTTACAAATTTGACAACATTTACTGAGCTTTAAAAGTGCAAACTCCCCCTTTACACAAATGTTTGTGGATGCACCTTGTGACCACTCTCCAGTGAAACCTTGATAGCCTGGCCGCTCGCATCAACGGCGTCTGCCACCTGCGTCGGCGTGAGGAAGCTCTCGTCTGGCGTGGAGTACCAGCCCTCATAGTTGCCCTTGTAGATGAACCCTTTGTCATACAACGTGCACCAGAAGTGCTCTACGGACCGCCGGTGCCTCTCCTCAGTGGTCCTGATGTAGTCTGTGAAGGACACATTGCAGCTGCCAAAGAGCTGCCGGAATCTCTGGGACACGCCAGTGCAGAAGGTCAGGGGGGCTTCTCCTGCTGCATTGGCCGCCTGTTGGATTTTTAAACCGTGCTCATCCGTGCCTGCAAAGAAGAGATGCACGCCACCCACTACAAAGGCCTGGTCCTCTGTGCAGTTGAGTAGCAGAAACAGGGTGCATGTAAATTAATTACCTGTTGCAAATCTCGACTTGAATCCCCGGAGAAGCTTGTATCTGTGCATGCAGTCGGCTAAAATTGCTGAATACAGGTGGCCCAGATGAGGAGAGGCATTGACATAGAAGATGGGAGTGGTTATGTAGTAGCTTCTTTCCTCATTGCACACATCGCTGCGTGTGCATCTGACTCTGCGTTGCGTTGAATGTGGTGATAAAAAGGCACTTTGTTTCCAGCTGCCATCAGCTTTACAGCTCCTGGTGATGAAGCAGAAAATGGTCCTCATTTTTGAAATGGCAGTCCTGCTGTGTTAGTAATGTTTTGCTAAATGCTAAGGGTCGTTTATCTATACAAAACATGCGTAACTCAGAAACACGCGCCACAACCTACACGATTACCAAAATGTCACAATCAAAAACGCAACGTTATCGAAAATTGAAGTGGTTACAAAGCAGCGAATCCCAACAAACTAACTAATCAAGTTTGTCACATGTGAGACTTAACGTGACAGTAGTCAAGGTTAGATGTTTTTCCGGATTGCAAATCAACGATCTTCCAATCAAATCGATGACAATGTGCTCTCGTGACCGCTAACGAGCCAATCAAATTGCGCTCGGGAGATATGCTGCGTTCTCAGCCCATGAAGGAATCGGAATTTGGATATTCAAGTCAAATAACCGGAGTCATTTTGTTGTTGTCAAACATAAGTGACAAAATAAATGCGTCTCCGCTAAATAGTCAAAAGAAATATGTGTCTGAGTCGTGATATTATGTGTTCACCGACTTGAAACTAACAACAGAATCCTCGTAATAGATAGACTTAGTTCGCTTTCAGTAATACTTCTTCGCGTGGCCCCATTTGATAGACTAACGATTCGCGATCGACATTGGATTGTAACGCAAACGTCGCTCGGCTGTCATGAGACTACAGCGTATTCATTCAGGCAGGTCGTAGCGGTCTGTGGAGTGTCGCTGCAGCGCAGCCGCCAGTTGGTTCCGCCCCTTGACAGCTACGAAGACGGATGATGGACTCGACTTGACTCCCATGGTACACAAATTTCTTTTTCTGTCTTTCTTTCCTTCTTTCTTTTCAGCATATGTCTATGACCGTCTCCACTTTGAGGCTGTTCAAACTTCCTTCTACTTGTTTGTTTTCCCCACTTGTGACGTTCTCGACACCACCCAAAACGTAGTTGAAGTTTATTCGCCTGGTAGGCCGTCATGTGATGTCGAAAGATGGTTTGTGTGTTCGTCGAAGTGGAAAGGGCAAGAGGAAAGTGTTTTTTTCTGTCATACGTGTGTGTTTGACAGCTATGCAATTATCGTCTGTTGTGGACTCTTGTCTCAGATGGAAGCGGGTCGTGTGGACTTCTATATTGGCCTTTCCCTGGCCGTGTCGTCCAGTCTTTTTATCGGTGCAAGTTTCATCCTGAAGAAGAAAGGTTTGCTACGATTGGCCAGCAAGGGCTCCATGCGAGCAGGTACTCACCCACCCCCTCCCCCCAAAAAAGTCTGACTATTCTGCGTTTCTTTTTTCGATATTTTTTTTCTGAACGCTAAAAATGAAATACAAAGTCTATTACTGCGGCGGAGGAGGAAAATCGGTCAACATTTGTTCTTTGAAAGATAACGTGGGGTACAAAACTCCACATTCTTGTCAAAAAACGTACTTCCTTCCATCTGTCCATCCACCCATCTTATATACTGCTTATCCTCACTTATTGTTTTATTAGTAATAGTAGTCGGAAGAGTACGTGTATCATTAATCACCATGATAGTTGTTATTATGACAACTTTATCGTCTCCAGGTCAAGGTGGCTATGCTTACCTTAAAGAATGGCTGTGGTGGGCGGGGCTTATTTCAAGTAAGTACACTCATAACCTCCGCAAAAACACTTTTCTCTCCAAGTACCCAACAGAGTAAATGCAAATTTGTGGTACTAAAAAAGTTAAATACAACTGAACTGCACTTGGGCAGTGATTCTTTCGTACCTCACTGGGTAAAAGGGATTTGGTGGTACTTCAACATGGTGGTGCCTTTTATTGTGCACATACATGTTCTTGCAAAGAGCACATTTGTGCATCGTGACCAGCAGTGGAATGGCAGGTTGCGTGTCTGGGCATTAACGTAAACTGATTGTATTGCAGTGGGAGTCGGAGAGGCGGCCAACTTCGCGGCGTACGCGTTTGCTCCGGCCACGCTTGTCACCCCTCTGGGAGCTTTGAGTGTCCTCGTAAGGTACGTCATTAGCTGCTTTGAGGTATTTACAAGTGGTCGTGTGAATGCTGAATTCTAAAATGCTGGTTGATACATCACAGCATTGTGTAGCAGGCTCGAGCTATCGTCAAAATATATCGCCTTGATACTGTGAGTGTTACAGGAATATAAAGTTCTACAATCCACTGGCAATGCGTGACATTAGTGGGTTTTTTTCCTAATCAAGTTTATTCTTGTAAAAGGATATTACAAATTTATTTAAAAAATATTTTTAGTCTTTTAATCTTACAGCAAATAAAGTGACTTCATTCCTGTATGTTGGAAATGTTGTTCATGTAAAAATCTAACTTTTTTTAAAAATAAAAACAAATACAGTGATCCCTCGCTATTTCGCGGTTCGTTTATCGCGGCTTCAGTGCATCGCGGATTTTTTCAAACATATTCATTTAAAAAAGAAAACATTCACATACATGTAGTACAGTGCTGTATATGTTGTTCTATGTGACTCGCTGTTGTTTTGCTGACTTTCGCAGCTGCTCGCGGACCGTTTGCTGACTTTAAAAAAATATATATTATTTTTTTTGTTTTGCTATATTTTATTATTCATAAACTAACCTAGCTTATACATGTTTAAATCTATTAGTATACAGCATTAAGTCATGTTAATTACTTCAAAATATACATCTACATGTGTACACCATTAAATTTGGCCTTACAAATATTATGTACATGTACCTATATGGAGGGTGGGGTGGGGTCGCTACTTCACGGATTTTCGCTTATCGCGGGTGGTTTTGGTCCCCATTAACCGCGATAAACGAGGGATTACTGTATATACTATTACAATTCTTTGGTTAAAAAATACAACTTTACGATGAATAAGTTTTCTTATGATAATTGGTTTATTGTAAAATAAAATTTGTTTTAGGATTTTTGTGGCATTATTTTTTTTATCCACATTTTCAGGACTTGATTCGAGTAATAGATTTTCTTTCTGATATTATCATCTGTTTCAGTGTTTCTCAACCTTTAATGAGCCAAGGCATATATTCCACCTTGGAAAAAAAATCATGGCACACCACTTAGCAAAATGATTCACAAAAAGTATATATGCAGGTTAATTATGTACCTTCGGTAATCAAGTGAAAAGGCATTTCTTTGTTTCTCCTCTCACTATAGATGGTAAATACTACATTTTGTCGTCAAAATAATAGACATTGGACAATTTCCACAGCGCACCTGATAATCTCTCCCGGCGACATTGGTTGGGAATCACTGACTTACTTTATTCCTGTATTAATTTCTGTAAAAATACAATATCACATTATTCTCACAATATTTTTTTAAATCTCTCTCTCTCTCTCTCTCTCTCTCTCTCTCTCTCTCTCTCTCTCTCTCTCTCTCTCTCCCCCCGTGTGTGTGTGTGTGTGTGTGTGTGTAAATTATTTGACTTTCTTGAATTGTATTCATCATACTACAACATCATTGTAATACATTACTTTGACCATGTAAATGTATTACTACTTTATCATTTTTTAAGGAACCTCAGTCATGGAATGATTGAAAATAATTTTGCTTAATTTTTGTGAAAAAAAAAGTTTCTAATATTTCAACTCAATATTAATTTAAACTGTAGTAGTACAGTATAGCTTTATGTTTACTCTCTTAATTTTAAATAACTTTATTCTCAAAATTCAATGGTGTTATTCTTGTAGTAAAATTATATTTTTGTAATTTTATTTTGATTTGATTGCATGCTTATGATTTTGCTCCAGTAAAATTGTCTCAGAAAAAAAAATTCTCCTGTTAATCAGCTTATTTTAACTTTAAAAGTAGGTGCTCTTCTCCTTGAACTTTATTCTCAGAAAAAAAAAGTTTTCTTTTACTAACATTACTTGAATCTCATAATTGTATGATTATATTTACTCCAGTATTACATTACATTACACTCTTCACATACAGTTCAAATTTAATTCTAGTAGTATTTGGACTTTTGGGGTTGCTTTAATAGTGTCAGCATTCATGTGCACTCATGCCCTATTTAAAAAAAAAAAAAAAAAGCCCACCCCTTACAGCTGGAGAGGAAGCTTTTGTCATAACCATCCGCCATGTTTCTTGGCAGCGCCGTGCTGTCGTCGTACTTCCTGAATGAGCGTTTGAATGTGCACGGCAAGATGGGCTGCCTCCTCTGCTTGCTGGGCTCCACAGTGATGGTGGTGCACGCCCCCCAGGAGGAGGAAGTGGCCTCCCTCAGCGCCATGGCGGAGAAGCTCAAAGACCCAGGTCAGACGTGTGCTGAACAAACATCTTGCGCAGGAAGTAACCATGTACAAATACAGTGTTATTCTACTTGACTACATTTTTTCGATTATTTGCGATTCACAGTGCCGAATGTCTGTTTGTCTCTGAAAAACTTGTGGATTTGCAGTTTTTATTCTCTGGCTGTCTTTGTGGCATCTTGGTATCAAGGAACTATACTGAGCTGTTGAGATTCATTCAGACAAATGAAGTGCTTGTTTTGTTTTGTTTTGGATATTGGTCACTCTTGTAGATGTGTTTTGTTTGTTGTTTTTTTTTTTTAACATCTACAAGAGTGACTAATAACTGTGAGTAATGCTGTATTAACTGCATCTTGGTGCCATGGGGCTACGTTGAAGTGAATTGAGGAGCTTGATTCACACAAAAGTAGTGTGTTGCCACTCTTGTGGCATCTCTGTACCTACCAAAGAACTTTTCTGAAAAGACTTGTGCAGATTCATTCAGACAAAAATAGTGATTTTCTGCCATTTTTTTTGGGTGGCATCTTGGTGCCAGGAACTAAGAGGAAGTGAGTTGAGGAGCCTTATTTACATTAAAGTTGTGTTTTGCGTGGCATCTTGGTGAAACTATTGGGAAGTGAATTCAGGACATTCATTTAAGCAAAGGTAGAGCTCTGAGTAGCTTCATTTAGACAAATGTTGTGCTTTGCCACCATCTTGTGGCTTCTATTTCGATAATATTTAGATAGTTTTCACAACCGCCACAGTTGTACCAACTGAATACAATAATAGTAATACAATTATTAATAACCAAGACAACACAAAAGTAGTGCTTCGACTTGAGTACAGAGTGCGAGTAGTTTTTTTCACCTGTGGGGAATACTCACATATCTTCCTGTCATGCTCCCCGCTAGGTTTCATTGTGTTTGCGGTGTGCGTCGTGGGAAGCAGCCTGGTGCTTATCTTCGCGGTGGCGCCGCGCTTCGGACAGAAGAATGTGCTGGTCTACATCACAATCTGCTCCATCATCGGCTCCTTGTCCGTGTCTTGCGTGAAGGGCCTGGGCATCGCCATTAAGGAACTGGTCGCCGGGACCGCCGTGCTGAGGGATCCCCTCTTCTGGTGCTTGTTGGTCTGCCTGGCGCTCTGCGTCAGCATCCAGATCAGCTACCTGAATAAGGCCCTGGACATTTTCAACACCTCCATCGTCACACCGATCTACTATGTGTTCTTCACCACGTCCGTTATAGCCTGCTCGGCCATCCTATTCAAGGAGTGGCTGCGCATGAGCGCCGGCGCCGTGGTGGGCACCATTAGCGGTTTCCTCACCATCGTGCTGGGCATCTTCCTACTACACGCCTTCAAAGACATCACCTTCAGCTGGGAGTCCATGCCCCGCTACCTGAGGAAGGGGCCTCGGGACCTACGCTGGGGCCCTCGGCCTTACGCCGCCCTTCCCGGCCAGGACAGCCCTGCCAAGGCGGAGGTGAAACCGCCTTTGGGGGGAAGCGTCAAAAGTGGGTCTGCCACCTGAAAGGAAATACTGCTTGTGTACACTGCAAATCTAAAAACAGTTGGGTCAAAAGGGCATGAGCTCAAACTGTTTGAGTTATTCATTTGACCTAAAACAAACAAGTTACAAAAGGAAAAAAAAATCTTCTGTATAAAACAACCAAAATTCGGTTATTTTGTGGGTTATTCAGGTGACCCAACTTTTTGGGTTCAATAAATACATTGATACCACATTTTTCGCAATTAATGGGGACCAGAACCCCCTGTGAAAGGTGAAAAACCGCAAATTAGGATTTGCCACCCCCCACCCCCGCCACTAGGATTTTTTTGTGTATGTGTATGTACATACCAGCATGTTTAAAATATGTAAACAGTATTTATATTTTGCATATTCGAGACAGAGATTACAACAATACACTATTTACTTCAATGTTTAATTCTAAAACCTTCTACAGAAATTAACATTCATCAAGATTGCCTTCTGAGAGAGGCAAAGAGGCTTGTGTTGGTGGCATAGAAGACTCTCGCTTGACTAGTATAGGTTTAGATTCTCTTGGAGACTCTTCCGCTGGAGGCACTGACAGTGTCGCTGAGGTTTTTAAATTGGAGAAACACTATGACGTTCATTTTGTCTTCTTATAAGTTGAAATGTGTTTAAGATTTCATTTTTATCAGACAATGGTCTATCTATAGTGAAGAAAAAAAACTGACAGGTTCTGCTGTCACTTCAGCCTTCATCTGAGCTGTCACTGCTTCCTTGTGACATGTCTTAAAAAAAAAAAAAAAAAACAGCTGACTGGGTCGATAATACGATAAACAATTTTTTTTCATTTTTAGATCTTTTTTTTTTTTTTTAGAGGAATACTGTATTTTGGAAAACCCCACTGCACAAGCACTGACGCCTCAAAACGTGAAGCGCAAAGTGGCGAGGGATGACTGTCAACCCAAAAGGGATTTTGGACCAAATTTGATTTCTTTTTGACCCAACTGTTTTAAGAGTATGTGGCCAAAAGGAGGTCTACATGCAGTATACTTCAGACCCACTTCGTTAATTTCCATCCTTCTTTCACTTAAATGGGAAGTTGAGTCTACATTTTTCTTTACAATTATGTTCTATGCACGCCCACATGTCTAAATAAGGTATTTTGATGTATATTCTGTTTATAGAATTATGAATTTTAATTTTCAGTCAACAGCAGGTAGCAGTACGTGGTAAAATGGCTGATCCTGACATGGATAAAAATGGGTAAATTATTCTGCTGTTAATATTTTACAAACAATTGTATTCAGACTCGTGGCGGCGCATAGAACACATTGAAATTATCTTCTGCTTTAAAACTCCTTTTCTCTATTTCTTCCTTCGGTACCTGTTCAATCCTGCTTTCGACTTCACTTTCTCCAACGATCACGACACTGAAACGCTAATGACACAATAAGAGTAGTATTTGACACCAGCAGAGTCTTATCTGGTTTTAAGTTTCCTTCCTCACACAAAATTCCAGTGCATGTGCTTCTTCGCTGTCTTTCTTTTGGACCAAAGTTTCCAAAAGCATAAGCCAAATGATCCTTTGATGCTGGCTGAAATAAGGTCATGTGAGGAGCACTAAATGGAAGGCGTGTTTCCCAAACTACAACATTCTTCAAGCTTTAACTTCACTTGAAAAACAATAGCAGTTTGAACAGAGCTGTAAGTCAATAAAAATAGAACATTAAATGATAAATATAGAAGGGAAAAACATATTCGTTTTTATACAAATGGAATCTTGAAAAACACATAACCATCCAGTGACATCATGTGGAAACGTTGCTGTGGCGCCTCCACTGTCTGTCTTTAGCCCAAACCATCACGATGATGGTCGGCCATGTGCTGTTCCACTGTTGTCTCAGATATTTTAATCAGATTCTCTAGAGGAGGGAAAGAAGAAAAGCCAAATGCGCCCTTCACTTTGGCATACAGGAAGTCCAGAATTGTATTCCCTCTCGTAGCACAGGAACTTAAGGCATCGAGGTTCCACTGTTGCAGTTGTTGTACTTAGTTTAAAATTTTTGACACTTTTTTCTCAATTTATCTGCTTTACACAATCCTCTTGCTTTCCTGGTCTGACCACGGGTTGATTTAAGTTCAGGCGGGATAAATGCATACTGTAGTTACTCAAATAGTAGCCCCCCGATATATAAAATAAATTATTAGGTCTTGAGGTGAGAACATAATTCCACTTCTTGGTGCCAGAATGTTGAATTAATTATTTGAAAGAATTTGGTCATGTATAAGTTGATTTATGAAGCGACAGATTACCTAACCTTGTGCTTTATCTTCTGATTTGTTTTTTTTCTCCATTTATTTATGGCTGCTTCAAAAAGTGCACTTCAATCACATTATCGAGCAAGTTGGAAAAACTGTTCGTGTCATGGTAACACCGTACCTCATACTGTGAGACCAAAGAAAGAATGTTCTTCCTTCTGTTGACTTTGTGTCTTTTATCTGCAAGCATGCATGACAGACTGAATAATTGATTTATTTCATATGTACAATGCAACTTTTAACAGTTTGAGCACACGCGCATCCTTGATCGAGGTGTCGTCTGTCTTAACATGAATCTGACCTGTCGTGTTTGTGGCGAGCGGGCACAATGCATATTTGCTTCTACTAAAATGTTTTCCGCTTGCAAAATCAGTTGACATCCATGTTGACACAATTAATGGAAAAAAGAAAAAAACTGTCAGCAACAGAACAGTGTTGCAACTCAAAGGGAAAAACAAACAAGATGTTGATGGGAGGCACTTTCGACAAAACACTGTTTTAGTTTACATGTCAGATCCAAACGTGGGCGTGCTTTTGCAAGTGTCTTTCAAAGCACACGTTAGTCTGTCATGCTGTCCGAGAAAGACCCTCGACTCCTCTGCGTCTGTTCCAGTCTGTTGAGTATGAACTGGCTGGTGTCGATGAATCTCTCCACACAGTTGACAAAGCACACATCTGTCCTGGAATCCAATTTGGGCCCCGGCTTGTCCATGCACTTTTCCTGGTGGGGGCAAAATAGACTGTTAGGTTGCTACGTCCGAAAAACAAACCCCACCAAAGTGTTCACAATTTCAGCCCTGTGGAGGGCCCTGAACTAATCACAGTGATATTTAACAAGAGTTTGTTCAAGTTAGCCTAAACATATAATGTAAAAACCTGTTAAGGTGTTCAAGTATTGGAAATGTAGAGCCATCAAATAAGTCATCTAATAGCTTTCTCTTTATGGAGATTGTGCTTTAAACAAATGCTCAGATCCACGAAACGAAAACAATGTTTATTCTTTTCTGTTATTAATTTCGTAATACAATTGTTAAATTGAGTGTGACTCTGTGCACTCTAACATCTAACTGCGACAGGTTCGTGCACACATCGTGAGATAAATTGACACCGCCTAGTTTCGCCAACATATTGTTCTGTTGGCTGTTGAAGAACACTAGGAACGGACCCTTAAGTATAAATGTCATATCTGGAGTTTAGCTCCATTGAGGTTTTACCTTCAATACACCTGGCGAACTCACACATGACATTTCAGGTACGCGCCGGCGAGCATAGGCTTATCAGAACCCATTGTTCATTTAATTAAATGTATCAAGTAAAACGGAATACGGGAAGAACGCACCAAAGTCACAGTTTAATCATTTGTCGACAGTTCAGACTCAGCTAGTTAAGAGCTTTAGCAGCACTTGGCAGAACAGGCGAACTGTTGTGTACTTATTGTTGGGCCTACATATTAGCATCTACTGTGCCATACAGTACTACCCATTAATAAATTGTAAAAGGCGGGTGGCATAACAATAACAAACTCCCATCGTTTGTGAACTAATAGGCTACCGCTGTCAAGCTAGCTGGGGAGATGCATACTTACCCAGCACACTTCCGTCATTTGGTGCACCAGCTGCTGAAACTTTTGCTTCTGAGACTCGATCTCGATGAATTGCTGCAGCTGAGGGTCCGCGCTCGCCGTCTTTCCGTCCATGCTCGAATGAAAGTCGCCGTTAGTCCTAAGAAATCCACAACTGAAGAACGCCTTATCCCACAAATGCTGACCTTCACGTGGATGAATGTGCGCCGCTGGAGGGACCGGAAGTAGACGGACCAATCGCACGGCGCGGTCCTATGACCTCAATAAGACGTGCGTTGCACCCAGGACGTACGCCGCAAAACGGCTAGAAATAAACTACAGTACAGAATGTATAATATTCAACGCCATTTATTCAAAAGTCCCACACAGCTTTTATTTTGCAATTAATTATGCATTCAAAAAAACACGGTTCCACTTCAACGTTCATGTTGAAATAGCTGTTCATTGTTATTTGTGAGTGTGAGGGTGGGGCCACTTGAGAGGGGATGAGCCAGGAGGGGAAGATTGGCTCTGACAGGCAGTCTGAGTGTGGAGCGTGTGGGCGTGCGTTGCGGCCATCACCACCTCTCACAGTTCTGTTGACGTTTTTTTGGTTCATTAAAAAGTGCGAGCAGATTGCATCAGCGGCTGTGTGCATCCTTGATGACACTGAAGGGCATTACAATATGTTTGTGTGTTCAACAAAGGTCGTCAAAGAAGGATATCACTGTTAAATTAGCTATTCCAAACCGGTAACTTACATTATGTTTAAACATTTCAAAAGTTTGCGTTCATTTTCCAGGTTGCTGCAGTTGTAATCTACTGTAGTTCATACAGCAAATCCTGAACAGTGAACACCAGTTCCTGGAAGGTGGGTCTCTCATCTGCCTTCTGGAGTGAACAAAACAGAAAAATCGCACATGTCAAACACATTTCTTATGTGGACATTAAATAAATAAATAATATAATTACTGAACATTACATGTTACATCACAATGTAAAATTTTGAAGATGAGTCTTATTTACAGTTCCCAGATGAGGCCTATTCCAGAAACTAACATGCATGTTTAAGGAATGCAAGAAGCCGGAGGACCCAGAGGAAACACACACACACACACACACACACACACACACACACACACACACACACACACACACACACACACACACACACACACACACACACACTCTAAGGGAGAATAAGATGTAACTTTTCAACCCAGAATCTCAGAACTGTGAGGCAGACGTGCTAACCACTTATCAAGTGTGTACAGCATTTCCATAAATCCAACATTCCCATTGTGAATTTGTACTTACATCGAGCCAGCAAGACGACATGACGTTGTAGATCTTCTCACACGCCAGCTGAGGACGGTACAGTCGTAGGCCTCCAGACACTTGAGACACGATTTCATTGTTGTTCAGACGGTCGTATGGGAGCCTCCCCAAAGTGTACACCTCCCACATCAGCACCCCTAGAAACATGGACGTGTCAAATTCTGAACCTAAACATGAACCAGCAAAGGGGATTTAAAAGTGGCTTTTTGGAAGATATGATTACATACCGTAAGCCCAAATGTCCGACTTGCTGCTGAATCTGCAATAGAGGAGAACTTCAGGAGGCGACCAGCGGACGGGGAACTTGGAACCTGCAGAGCTTGTGTACTCGTCGTCTAGGACGTACCTGAAGATATTAAACTTAGTTATACATTGTTATGATTGCTGTTATAATTGGCCTTTAGTGAGGACTTAGTCCACCTCCTAATATGACATTAGCGTCAGAGAAACTATCATTCACATAAAAAGAACAGAAAATGCTGAATAAATGTTTGCCGAATAACATGACAAAAACAAAACAAATTTGTGGCAGCCTACAGATGCCACAACATGGCAGCAAAGCACTTTCTTTTATTAGATAAGACTATGGCCTGACTAAATGAAGCTCCTCCCCTCATTCCAGTTAAGTTGCTGGACAGCGTGATGTCACCAGATGGCGACAAAACAATTTTATTTATGGCTTGGATTTGAGCACAAAAACAGTTTTTCAGCGAAATGCAAATGTGCGACTGGTAAACCGCAAATACTGTATGCGGGGGTTCACCGTGATAAGTTTTGCTTTGACCATCCAATCGGAGGACGGCAAAATACTCATGTTATTTTCTGCCAACAAGCTGGCACTCGAAGGTTCATCTCTGATTGGTTAAAGAGTCACATCGCTAATATAATTTGAATTAAGTAATCGGCCTGCACTGGTGTTTTTGAAGGTCCTGGGAAGATTACAATGATGTCTAAAAACATTGGGTCAAAGGTAACTCAATATGGGTAAAAAATGGGCCGACCCAAAATTTGGGTCAAAATAAATAACCAACAAAACAACCCAAAACTTTGGTGAATAACCCAATATATAATAATATACAGTGTGTTAATGATAATAACCCCAACGGTTGTGTCAGTCCCCTTTTTGACCAATTTTGGGTTTTACGAGTACTGTATAGAGGCTGAAATTTGATTGGACCAGAACCCAACATGAACAGTTTCATAGACCAAATATTACAATTTAGGTTGTAAATGTACTGGCAGGTCAGCGCATCCGCTGTAGAAGTCGAAGGCCTTGCTCGCCCTTCATTATACAATAAAATACATGTTTATTTTTCTCGAGCTGCTGTTACAACAGCTGCAGCTGTAACACAACACTTTACAGAACTGCTGTGATTCTACCTTGACAAACCAAAGTCTGCCACTTTGACCGTTCCGTTGCCGTCAACCAAGCAGTTCCTGGCTGCCTGCGGTGGAAATGAAGACACATTTGAATTGAAAACTGTCCACTGGAGCGAGTCACCATGATGCAGTCTGTGCCCTCTCACCAGATCCCTGTGGATGAACTGCTTGGACTCCAGGTAGGCCATTCCCTCGGAGACGTCTTTGCACATCTCCAGTAGCTGTACGGAGGTGGGGTGCTGCCTGAGGCCCTCCCTGAGGTAGGTGAGCAGGCAGCCATTGGAGAGGAACTCAGTCACAATATAGATGCTGCTCTGCTTGGTGCACACGCCATACAGCTGCACCAGGTTCTCGTGGTGGAGCATCCTAGTTTGAAATTGCGGGCTCGTGATCCAACGCATACCGCATCATGTGTCATTTCTCGGATGACCAATCGATTGCGCTTTACATCATGATCTTGGCTTCCTCTATGAAGTCATCCTCCGACATGGCCCCGGCTTTAATCATCTTGATAGCCACGTCGTGCTGGCCCTTCCATTTTCCGTGCTGCACCACGCCAAACTGACCCGTACCCAGGACCCGAATGAAAGTCAGACAGGAGGGGTCGATCTCCCACATGCCTGCGGAACACAAACAAGATTTGTGTCTCTGAGTTGTATTTTACCCTTATTTAAATATTGTTGATGCTTTCAGTATTTATATGTTTTCATGTTGCGTGTAAAGTGGAGTTGAATGAAGTCTTCTCTGAGTCCAATTGCATTTTGGGTAATGTAGTCTTTTAACCTGTGGCATACGCAACAAGTCAACAACTAAAAGAATCCTACAGCATTATGTTTCTTTTAGTCATTAACTATTGTCTCTCTCTCTCTCTCTGTCTGTCTGTCTCCATCTAGATCACAAGCCATTTTGCTAAGTCTCATCATCATTTCTACTCCCACTTTTCAGTCCCTTGTAGCATTATGGGTAATGGTTTCCAAATGTTTTAACTAAAATACTTCCAAAGCATTGATTTAAATACATTGCATTGTCCAGTTTCCTCAGTGACACTTACCATAGCCAAGACCTGCTGTGGATGGAGGCTGTGCTCGATCGGAAACAATATATTTCAGTCTGCTAAACATGCCTGGTGATTTGGAGAACAGGAAAGTATTACGTATAATCAAGCTTAAAGAGGTCGACCAAACATGTTTAAAAGACTAATGTGCATTTAAAGATCCCATGTCATCAAAATCACATTTCCCCACATTTATTATGCATAACAGAGGTCAAAATGAGTCTCTAACATTGTTTAAGTTTTTGCATCTATGCGCTTTGTTGTTGGCACTCAGTGGACTTTGAAAGGCAAAAATGAGCAAATTTGTTTTCGGCATTGTTGTGATGTGGATTTGTCATTATTCAAGTACTTGCCCATTTTGTGGTAACTACACACCCATTCACCTCGGGGAAAAATAGCCGACAGCGACAATACATCGGCGTCTCGTGCAAAGCTAAACCTTTGCATCAGCTACCAACCTCACAGCAGATAAGGAAAACGTTTTAAGCGACAGCCACACATACACATGCGGTCAGTCAGCCCCAGTGTGTCATCTGGGCGGCTGTGAGGCATCACCACAGAAGTGGGCATAAAAATGAAATAAATAATAATTTTTAAAAAATTTAAAAGGAGGAGAAAAAATTTTACTCCAGGCGGAACACCGGGCCATCGCGCTGCCATGGCCCCCTTCAGAGTGCACTGTGTCCGGTCAGAATTTGCCGATAGCCCCCTGAACTAAATGGGAACCAACACAATATGAGACATGGTGGCTACAAAATGCCCACACATGGGGAACTAACCAATCTGAGGAAAGCTGTTGTCCATATTAAAATAAGGAAAACAGAGATCCAATCGGAAGAAAGCTTTTTAACATATGAACATTTTTAAAAGACTAATTTGAAAAGAACATTCTGCTAGTTTTCACCCCAAATAGACTTGTAAACTGGATAAAAGGAATCAAAGACTATAAAAAAAACTGTAACATGGGGTGTTTAAAAAAATGACTTGCTTGTGTGATATTATCCTCATCGAGTGGATAGAGTAGCTTAATGTTCGTGAACCTGCGGCATTGTGCTGATGGTAGTTGATGAGCTCCGGGATGTTGTTGAAGTTGTGCTTCTCGGCCAAGTAGAACTGTCCCTGCGGGGTGGTGCAGATGTTGTAATGTTTGCAGATGCCACCGGCCTCTCTGTGGACGGGAAGAAAGAAACGATCATATGATGCATGAGGTTATGCGACATTGTCATTATCCACAGAGCAGATGGGGTCAGGGAGATAAGAGTGGTTTTGCATCGACGATTTACATGTGATCCCATCCACTGTTTCTGTTATACTTTTTCTTTTGTGCTACATCCAGCGGATACATGATATTGTGCCGTAAATAGCGTCGTGTGAAGCAGAGTGAAACTCACCCGCCGCCTTTACTGAACAGAGACACGGTGTACTTCCCTGGCTTGCTGGAGTCTCGCACCAGGAAGCCTCCATCTTTGTTCTGAGGGTCAAAAAAAGTGAGGCAATCCAAATAGTGAACAACTTTGAGCTTGCGCTTGTTAAGGCATTGTATTAGATTTGGCAGCGTGGTTACATCGTGGTTAGCACGTTTGCCCTGTGTTTTAGCCTTGCGGTTGGTTGACGAGTAACCAATCCAGCTCTCACTAAAAGTCGGTTGAGACTTACTCCAGCTAGTCTGAAACTAGGGATGAACAATTTTGGAGAAAAAAATTGATGTCAATTTGAGTAGGATTAATTCTTCAGACCAATCTGAGACGCTTGCGAGGACAAGAACTATATATTGCAATTATGAGCACTGGGCTAAATTCTTTTGACGCTTTTTAACGAGTCTTACCTCAGTCTTCAGGAGCTTCTCTGCCTGGCTACGGTTTGTATTCTTGCAATACCAACTTGAAAAGAAAGAGAATTTTTCAGGGAATTTGGGGGTTTTCGACATAACATGCAAATTAAATGAGGAATTCTGACGAAGCAGACTCGTGTCGACACTCACTCATATCGGTCTAAGCCGTGTCCAACTTCCACCACATAGTTGCTGGGTATGTAACCCTCATTTCTACAACATCAAACAAATTTTTAAGCATAGTTCTAAGTAAGGCAGCCAACCTTAGGCAATGGTTTCACCTACCCGTATTTGTCTCTGGCTCTCCACCAGTTGGGGTCGGACTTGTCCAAGATGGTGTACTCCTCGTCCTTCTTCAGCTCGAGGTCGTGAGACATCATGGCCGGATGGTTGTATTGAGCTACGACGCTCATCCCCGCGCAGGGCTCGTTGGCCTCGGGAAGCTGCGGAGGAAGTCGTCGGCCGGGCTTGTCCTGAAAAAAACAACGTATCGTTACCTCTGCCAAATACACAAAGCTTGAAACGCAATGGACTGTTTTGATTGGTATTTGTTTGCTACTTAGCAAAACTGGGCAAACAACGACACGTAAGTGGCAAACAACAACGTAAGTAGGCCTGTAAAGAAATGTATTCGCTCTTTTTGCTGTTCGAGTCACATATGAACACATCCCCTGAATGCAAATGGTAGAGTTTAGGGATAAATGTTTTTGAAAAATGATCTCAATGCATTTTTTCCCATCAATATTGCAGTGAAAAATAATCTGTTGATTGTAAAATATGACATGATGATATATGACATTTGAGCATGATGTATTTTGTGTCCATTAAGAATACAGTAAGCATTTTTATCCTTCACTTTCCTGACGTATTTTCCACCAGGCATTTTTCCGCAAGTTTTTTTTCCTTTTCCTTATTTTATTTTATTTTATTTTTTTGACAAAGACATCGTACCGTCATTTTGAGATTGTGCCATCTGTACTTGCTCATACTATTGATGAGCCACATGTGAAGGGAATTTGTGTGTGTTGAATAAATTAAAGAGTAAATATATTCATTTGTGTACCATGGGTTCATGTTTGTGTACATGCAAAATGCACGGTGTCACGGGCGGCGTCACTGAACTGTTTTCCGCTACTTCAGAATTAAAGAAAAATGTCGATTGGCTGACGTCGCCGTTGGAATGGGTCGGTCTGAAATAATGATGGAATGATGACTGAGGCACTGACGTGCCTACCACTGCTGTCTTTAGCAGGAAGTAGCCCGTGAAAAAAAGAAAAATGGAACAGTACTGTCTATTCATCTTACATCATCATCTGTAGCAGGAAGCAGTTTGCTCCACAATTCAACTTTTCTTCAACTACTTTCTCTTTCTCTTTGCTGTTTGGGTAACGTTGGAACTGTCCTCAGTAATTGCCGAATTTGAAATGGTCTTACATCACCCTCAGTAAACCAGGAAGCGGCCTTACAGACGGACAGCAAATTGCAGCTCTGTTTGTTTTTTGTTTATATTTTTTTTTTGCAATTCGGTAAGAGGAATGTATTTGAGTTTTGGGCCCTTTTGAGTCACACTTAAAGTACAATAAAAAAAAAAAAGTACAGTACAGTCTTGTAAACCCAGAAATAGGCTTGTAACTAGCAGACACACTTTTATTCAATTTTTGTTTTTCCTCATTGCCATTTTAATCAGAATGAAAGATGGTGCAGTCCAGTCCTCTTGCGTCATTTTCCAGTACTGTATGTCCTTTTAGCCAAGCGGTTTGTGCGCTCAGCTCTGAATTGCTGAGGACTAGATGTTGTTCAAAGTCCAGCAGAGACTGGACCGCATAGGACACCACTGCTAAATACATTTGCCCTTGCTTTGTCTTGTGATCTGTCCAATTACTTTTTTTGAACTTTTGTTGTCATCCGAAGTTGGATATTCTGCGGTAATGTTAGCCAAGCCCCTGGACTCCGAGCGAACAATTCACTCTACTTTTACAGATTTTTACAGTGAATCGATAAATGTGTGCTTACCTCTGAAGGAGTCGGGGGCAGAGGTTTGCGGGTTCCCCTCCGAGACATCAAGCCTATTGCGGAAAAAGATGTTCAGGAGTTTTGTCATCCGGCTAGGCTTACAACGTCGATTTGAAAAATCTCATGGCACACCACCTATCGCAATAAAGTATATGTATACTGAAATAATGATGATGTTGTCTCATTTGATTCTAAAATGTACTCACTCAGCATAAAATCTGGGACTTTTTAATTGAATACAAAGCGATTATTCTTTTGTAAGAAGGGCAACACACTTTTTGCCATGTAGTGGAAGAGCATTTCATTGTTCTGCCTGTCACTATGCATCGCTGGCATGTATAGATCTTGAAAGGTACATGATTAAAGGAGTACAAATGCTGACTATAATGTAACACGGCCAGTAAAAAAAAAAATCGAAATACTTTACACAAAATCTGTGAAATTATAAATACCTGATGTGTTCTTTCACTAAAGGCTCCATTATCAAAGGGTAGAATAAAAACATTCCACGAGGAGGGGTACGCTGTATCAATGTAATTGGTGAGGAGGACATTGTTTTCTGCTGTTTTTGTCAAGCTTTGTCATTGAGACCATTAAACGCAAAGAAGAAATCCTGCTGTGCGTCATCAATATTCTTAAACACAACGCAGTCGGACACCACCGGTTAATTCAAGACACATGATGAAATGAATACCGTTGCTGAGTAATTTAGATTAAATTTCTGGCAATCACTGCAGTCGTAGAATCTTTCAGAAATAACGTGTGGCTCATCCTCACCGTTCTTGCTATCCAGAACCTTACAGCCCATCGCCTGCTTGACTTCCTGCTGGCAGCAGAGCCACATGCCGTCGATCCAGAAGCACGGGTGGTACTTTTGCATCAAGTCCTTGTTGGTTTGCACCACTAAACGCACACAAACGCACACGGACGCACAGGCGTGCACACAACATTTGAATGAGCACACACTTCCTCCACGAAGTGATGATATCAGTTTGCATGCTGACGTTCTTTCAGCTTCTTTATCCACTGAGCTCGAACTTCCTCTGTCTTTGCGAAGATGTACAGCGGCCCCTCATCGTAAATGACCTTAAACATAACGACACGGTTAGTTTTCATTTTGTATTTTCACCAATGCCTCTCACACTCTTGCTTCCTGTGTGGTAAGACTAGCGTAGCCCAGTGTACACCTGCAAGCACCACAAAAGCCCCCACATCTGGACTGCTTCTTTCACTTCTTACACTTGTTCCACATTATTCTCGATTCATTGGAAAGGGGGCTGCCAGGAACCAAGACAACTATCTTCCAACATGGCCAAATCAAAACTCTACCTGGAATGCATACATGCGCTCCTGCGGGCTGTTGTGCTCCGTCTGCACCGTTTCGACACACTTGATCTTCTCCAGGTCCACTGAGCCCCTCAGGCCTTTTCGCTTCTGCGAGACAGACGGGAAAAGCACAACAATGCTGTATTTATTTTTACAAAGCAATATCGAAACATTGATCATGCACCAAAGCGGTGTTTCTCAACCTTTGTGGATCCAGGGCAAATATGTGACATGAGCAAAAAACACAGCACCAAACAAAAATGTCACAAAAAGCACACATGCTTACATATTTACTGACTGCCTGTATCTCTACCACAAAAGAACATGCAAGATTACTTCTGCTTTGTGCGTAGCGTTTCAGGCATTTTAGATCTACAAACGATTTCTTCATATTTTGTTTTGTGGTAACTAGTAACAAAGATGGATTTCGGAGTAAAAGTATCTACATTTTATTTGGGAAAACTAGTGCCGAGAAAGTAATACAAAATAAAACAGAAATAATGGAAGAAATTACAGATGCATGAAAATTCTACCAAAGCACAGTTAATAAACATTTTTACTCCATTACATTACAATACTAATTATTGTGTTGCAACAACAATACACAGGTGAATTGTGCCTTCTGCCATCCAGTGGAAGAGCATTCAACTATTTTGTCTGTCACTCTACATTGATCGCATAGGTAGATTAACATTATTTCTAGATAGATGACCATTTAATTAATCCCCTGATCATTTCCACGGTTATTATAGTTAAGGAAAACTACTTAAATAACTAAAACAAATTTTCGTGGGGGGGGATAAAGTGTTTTTAAAAAACGATAACTGAAATTACAATTTATGTTTATCAAGCTAACTATAATTAAAGTGAAACAGTCCTCTGGTTTAGCCTTTGTCACGTAATTTAATTCAATTTAGCTCAGCTGACAAATATATATCACTTGGGAAACTAGTAGCACACAATTGACAGCTTGTTTCCCCTCAAGGATGTGGGTTAAAAGGCCAAACAACGTTCCATCCTTACCCCTTTGTCAGCATCGTAGTCGTAGTAGGAGAGTTTGTCCCGTGTGAGGATGAACCATCTCTCTTTATAGTTCAACGGCGACGTTTTCCTCCTCTGCTGCGAGCGCTTAATGAAAATGTCTTCCAAAATGTTGTCACACATGGTTCACGCCGGCGTGATCTGCAATGAATGATCGACAGATCGCTTTAGTCTGCAAGGTTGTTGAAAGTGGCCAACGGCCACTGGAGTGAATTCATCTGTCATTTGTTGTGTATATGCGGTGTAACGGCTAATTCGATACTTGGAACCGGCCCTTTTATAGCACTGTCAACGTGAGCACTTGTGTCGCTCCGCTGTGCGGTCGGTCTACCGCAAGCCACGCAGACTCGGAGCAGCGCCGTTCATCCAACTGATCATCAAGCAAGATTAGAGACACTTTCTTTGTGATTCGTGTTTATTTTCATAAAGCGATTTCTTTTCTGTATCATTTGATAAAACAGTACTCTCTTTGTCGGTATTATGGCAAAAAAATTAACTGACTGAGTCTTGAGTTTAGTAGTCACGCCGTACTTAAGTTTTGTGTGTGTGTGTGTGTGTGTGTGTGTGTGTGTGTGTGTGTGTGTGTGTGTGTGAGAGAGAGAGAGAGAGAGAGAGAGAGAGAGAGAGAGAGAGAGAGAGAGAGAGAGCGTTATAACTTTATCTTGGAAAATACAACTTTAGTCTCACAATATTAGAACTTCTTTACCTCAAAATTGTCACTTTATTATTGTAACAATATGACTTGTTCTTCTTGAAAATAGGCAACTTTTTTATCCTGTGGCCCTCAGTTATGTTTAATTGGCATTACCGGTAGGTTTGTGTGGAAGGGTCTCCCATGTAAGGGAAAATAAATTGGAGAACACTGATCTAAAGTAACGGAGTGAGACAGCAGAATGTGTGTGTGTGTGTGTGTGTGTGCGTGTGTGTGTGTGTGTGTGTGCGCGCGCGCGCGTGCGTGTGTGCGTGCGTGCGTGCGTGCGCGTGTGTCTTTTAATACGAACGGCAGTTGACTCAAATGCAGACAGACTGATGGGGAAGTTGCATCAGGCTTGCAGGACAGCAATGGCTTCAACACAGATGTAATCTGTCACGACTGGAGTTATCATAGCATCAGCTTCATGACAGCTTTTAATACCCCACACACGCGACGTAGTTCCCCCTTGCGACACCTCCTTGGTGCCATCTCATTGCTTAATCAGACTTATTTTCCCCCCTAACTGTACACCATGGGTAATTTTCAGTTTGTCGCTCAAGGTCCATGCTGCTAACCTTCTGCAATAAATATGATGCAATCATTAAACAAGTGTATAGAGTGAAGCCATGTCTATACTTCCTATATACAAATTTGTTTTATCGTTGGATCCTATCTTTGGCTACTCTTAAATAAACTCACCTATTTGCATATAACTGGTGCTCTTCTGTTACACCATTAGATGTCACACAATTGCGTTTATGCCCTGCCTGATTGGAAAGTAGTAACTGCTGTCATGAGGTATTGGTGAAATTATCCATAGATGAAAGTTGATAAGCTATTGTAAATTTAAACTGGGTTTTTAGCTGTTACATGCAGATACAGTGACAGTCAATGTTCCCTCTAAGCTCCCAGTGTGAGCAGTTGCGCACAACTCTCACCTTCAGAGGGCACACAGTGACCCTACAGCGCACCATGCACAAATATTACATTTCCACGCTCATTCCTTCATTTCCAAGCCAGTTTAATCTACAAATGGGAGACCACATCATTCCCACTTCCCTTACAGTGTGAGTACTGCGACCAACACTACAAAGTCTACATTGACACACAGATAGTACACTCACACTTACTTGTTAAAGGCGACACTGTGGATTGTTCAATTCAGGAAGTCCAAGCATGGGCGTAATTCATGAGCCCCTTAAATGAAGCTCATTTGCTAGTAATGTTTGTGTTTTATGAAATAACATGTTTTCTATTACCGGTATTTATGAGTGGATAATGTATTGATACAGTTTGTATTGAGACTTAATTATTGTATTTAAAATAAAAGTAAAAAACTAGGGCCAATTTTATTCGTGTCAGAAATATCTATTCAATTATATGTTCTATTTTGATATAATGAATAGATGGTTTTAAATGCTTTGTAACATCCATCCATCCGTTTTCTAATCCGCATATCCTCATGAGGGTAGCGTGCCTGCTGGAGCCTATCCCGGCCGGCTGTCATCGGGCAGTGGGCGGGGGACACCCTGAACTGGTTGTCAGCCAATCGCAAGGCACACAGACAAACAACCATCCACGTTCACAATCACACCTAGGGACAATTGTCAGTGTTCCAAAAACCTGCCTTGCATGTTTTTGAAATATGGGAGGAAACAGGAGGAAAACCCACGAAGGCATGAGGAGAACATGCAAACTCCACAGAGGAAGGCCGGAATTGGAATCGAGCACTGCACCTCTGCACTGTGAGGCCGACGCTAATAAGTCGACCACCTTGCCACTCCTACAACATACATGCATCATGTAAATTGTTTTGATCTCAAGTTTTGGACAGGTGTCATACTGGTTTGGCCGCCATGTGCACATCTGATGTTGCTCACCGTGTCATTCAGGGAGTTTGTGTGACTGCTCAGACACATGGAAAATTAGTGGGAACATTGATTCCAGTGCAGTTTTGTTTTAATGATCTCTAAGCTATTTGATGTTCAGGGTAACATTGTTAAATGCGTTTGCGATGGCATTAAACTGTTTTGAGGTCACAATCTGTGGTATATTTACAGTTTGCACCAGTGGTTCTCAACTGTGATCACCCTTGGACCCACAACTTCCTATTGTTTTAAAATCATGACCCATTGTATCGAAGTCAAGAGTAATAAAATCACATGTATTTTGCTTTAAATGTGTTACATTTTTAAACGCGGTTTCAAATTAGTTTGACATTGCGCCAAAAGTACATTGCTAGCTATGACGTCCGCTAAACCAGTGATTCCTAACCTGTACGGAGCCAAGGCACATATTTTAAGTTCGAAAAATCGCACGGCACACCACCAAACAAAGTTGTCACAAAAAGAGGATACATAGATCAATTTCATACTTTTTGCCATCTAATAGAACATACTTTATTTGTTCTTTCTGTCACTATAAATTGCTGACATGAGTCGATGGAGAAAGATACATTATTTGTTATTAATAAATAATTTTCTCACCTATTAAGTGAAATTTGATAAGCTCCCACGGCATTGTTTATTCACTTTTCAAATAAAATATGGTCGAAAGAAAATAAAGCACAGTAATAAAAATAATATATAGTTTCACTTTAACAAATTGCACTCATTTTACAATTTTGAACATGTCATGCGTTGTAAAAAAGTATCTTGTATAATATTTATTACAGCGAGTATATGTTTGAATATACTGTTGAACATTTCGTTGTGGGTAAAATCATCAGTGCTACTTTTCTGCATGCTGTGTATTTTTCTTCTCGTTTAGTTTCTACTGATGTTATTGTGGTACAGAGACTTATGTGGCAGGGTGGGTTCAAGTTGCACTCAGTATTGAATGTTAGTGTAAAGGTTTGTCTCTCTCTATGTGCCTTATAATTGACTGGTGACCAGTCCAGGGTGTACCATGCATCTTGCCCAAAGCTAGCGGTGATGGGCTAGTTGAATTTATTCATGCAGTGGGGAAAAATTAAACTGTCACTGTTGCAATATTCACAAAATAATCACCTGTATAAATTATACAGAACAAGCATCAAAGGACAAACAATTTAATTCGGTTCTCAGAGAACTTAAACACTTTGACTTATAGAGGAGGCAATCTTTTGTTAGTTGTTTGTTTGTTACTTTGGCAAAACATTCATTTCTGTACAAGCCAATATTAGCATAACCATTGCTGTTTAGCAGGAACCTTTCTTTTCTGATGCTTCCTAATAGATACGTGTGTGGTGAGTGTGTGGGTGCGTGTGCATCCATGATAATGACAAACAAAGTTGGTAAAAGAGCAAAATAGGTGAATGTCAAACTTCAGTGTAATGTAACAAGAAAGTACCAACTACATATGATAAGGACAATATATTTGCCATGTTTTTTTAACGATTTAGACACAACATAAATACAGTAGACAGATGTATAGACTAAAGTGAAATGAAAGAGGATGTGACATACTCTCACCTAGCATCAGACGACCAACTGGCGGAGTTGAGCTTTAAAAGTGGTGGCGTGGAGCTTTACCCTTCCAGAGTAAATGTGTTTCGTCTGTGATGCGAGAAGCAAATTCAAAAGAACGAACGAAAAAAAAACACTCACAGAGGAACTCACACTTCCCCATTTCTGCTCTCTCTCTTTCTTGCTTCTCATTTTCATATCAGCCCTCTGCACGGTTTTGGGTGACAAGAGAAAGACCGGCTAAACATTAACAAACCTCTACATTCCTATGTGGTTTACTCTAGATAGTGGATTTAAATCGTTTATTGAAATTAATGCTACTTCGAAAGACGTTACAAATATATCATTTTTGGAGATTATAAAGTTTATTTTTGCATGTATTAAAATAGGTTATATTATAATTTATTCAGCACAATATTACTGCTTTTTTGTTTATCGCGTGTGAGCGTGTATTTAGTGTTTGTGTGTTTGCTCTTCTGTGTGGATTTTGGTCGTTAGAGGGCAGTGTAGGTATTGGCTGCAGAGCTGAACGAAAAAGGCTGCTTCCGGTTACGGACTTCCTCTTTTGCTCTGCATTGGGACGCAAACATGGTATGCACTGAACACCCGGATACATTTGAAAGAATCGACATTAATCTCAAGTTAAATAAGCCATCGATGCTGTTTGGTTGTTCACAGAAGCGTGTAATATTTCTGTTCTCGCAACAATATCGCTATTTGCCACGTATGATGAGTTTTTGGGCGAAAACTGGTCTTCTGTCGATGCTACCTTCTTAGCTAGCTGCTAGCTATTTTCACGTTTGGCCGGCCTGTCGGGTGTTAAACATTGTCCTATTCCAGTTATCGGAAGATAATTATATTTATGCGTCATCAACAACACAAGTTGGGTTCGCATGAGTAGTATTGCGAATTCAATGCTAATTTGTAGCATGCGCTCATAATAAATCGCCATTTGGGAGCTGTTGAACAACGTGTCCGAATGGGTTGATTTGCACGACTTCTCTCACGATTAAATATTTTGTTCACTAAATGTTTATATTGAGTATCGTTGGCTGTTTAATATGGCTGACGGTTGAGCTATGTCCTCAGGTGAACGTCCCGAAGACCCGCAGGACCTACTGCAAGAAGTGCAAGAAGCACCAACCCCACAAAGTCACCCAGTACAAGAAGGGCAAGGATTCCCTCTATGCTCAGGGTAAGTGTTTTGTTGGCTGTGTTAATTTGCGCTGGGTTTACACCATGTATGAGTTGATACATACATACATACATACATACATACATCAGTAGACCCCATTCCAATTGGTTTTCCTCTCGTGGAACTGTTAAATGTGCTGTATTTACTATATGTAACATTCATTCTCTAATGTTTCTAAATGCCGCTTTACCTTCAAAGTTTTGAGAAAAAATTATTGACAGGAATTGGCGAGAATGAGAGATCAGCTCAACTGACTTTGAAAGCCACAATCGTATGTTCATTGACAAATATTCTTCTTCTCATCCTCATTTGAAATTGGTGCCGGTCCAGGGTGAAAGGAGACCTTGCCTCTCCTACCCGTAATCTTTGCAGCCAAACACCTCGTGTTAACAAATTTTGGACACTGGCACTCCAAGTTAACTATTCTAGTATTTGCTGAGCACCCGAACAAAACAATGCACAGGCCACCAACGTGGCCTTGTCTGTCACTAACCTATGCCAATGTAATAGAAATGTCATGAGTACAGTAAATACTTGTATGAACACTTCTCCACTAAGAATATAAAACAGTTCAATGACAAACAGTAAATATGACGGTAGCTTGCGGGGCTCAGGCTCGGTTCATTGAAACCGTCAATCATCTGCTCAATCATAGTTCAAGCTGTTACAACAAACAATGCCATCTGCTTCAAGTGTTGCAAGTCTTGAAGAAACATCAGAAATGTGGTCTGGCACCCATTTCAGATAGTTGGTAAAAGCACGGTGCAAATAAACATTTTCATTGGTTGTTGAGCTACATGTTGGGGGAAACAATTGGGGGTTTGTGCCTTAAATTTACATACTGGTGTGTAGGTTACTGGATAGGAGATAGTGGGACAAGAATTGGATCATTAGATTTGACCACAGTTATGTCATTAATAAGTGAATGTCCTGCAGGTAAGAGGAGATACGATAGGAAGCAGAGCGGCTACGGTGGTCAGACCAAGCCCATCTTCCGTAAAAAGGTGAGTTCAACCATCCTGGTTGCAAAGGTCTGCCTTGCGTTTATGAACCCACACACACTATCTTCACCTTGTTTCCAGGCTAAGACAACAAAGAAGATTGTGCTGAGGCTCGAGTGCATGGAGGCCAACTGCAGATCCAAGAGGATGCTGGCCATCAAGCGATGCAAGCACTTTGAGTTGGGAGGTGACAAGAAGAGAAAGGTAAGACTGTCACAAGACACTTTGTTCCTTGAGCAAGTCTTGGTAACTGTCTCGGCATTAGTGTGAATTTATCCTTGAAATATGAGCCTACTAAGTCAAAGGCAAATTCCCGTAGGAAGGCAGTTAGGTACATTATACATGTTGTACTGAGCTGCCGGATGTTTTCCTTTGATGTTTTGTCTGCAGTTATCACACTTGAGGCCAGTTCTTACTTTTCACATCCACGTGGCCACAGGGTGCACATTGGTACATGTGGTGTAAATATCGTTGTCCACCTGCTGCAGAGGGTACGGACCCCACTGCATTTGATCGCACCTAGCCTCATTTTTTTGACTGTGCAGGCTGGATGCATATAAAGCACAAATGATCACGCAGGCGCCACACCAACAAACAAAGCACTGGTTATACCTCGCCTCAGATGCCTCTCGTTTCGTGTGCCAATGTGCTGAATTTGTTGTCCCTCTGATTCATGTTCAGTGGTTGCACTATGTGGGCCGTATTTTCGTGCCCAGAGCAAGTGTAGCAGAAAGGGCAGTCTGTCTGCATGGGTAGAGTTTTCTCTAAGTATTTAATAGAGAGATGCAGCTAGAAAGGAGCGTTTGCGCCGTTGTTGGAGTGGACACAGATAGCTTCTTTTCTGGCCATTGTAAGGGGCTCCATTCACTTTAAATTCACTGTAGGAGAGGCGCATGGTCCATATGGCGCAGGGACTCGTTTGAGTTATGCAGGAGATCAACATGCACAGTTGTTGAGTGTCTTTTATTGAACGGTGACCACAATGGTTTGAATAAATGTCAGCAATATTTCAAGTTAGTGCTTTCTTAAAATCAAGCTGACCTTTGCACAATGGCAACATTCAAAAGCTCTTAAGTTCATGGACAAGCAACAAGAAAAAGTGGATTTGAAATCCAAATTACTCAGGTTTTAACAACAGGAGTGTACGATAAATAAAGCACATTTGTCATGCCTCACTGACCAAAGGTCAGAACAAGTGGAGATGTGATGTGGAGTGATTTGTGCATTTCAACATTTGCTTTCCATTGCCCCATCTTAAAGACATATGTGCCATTGACATATTCGAGCAGCTGTGTTTTCTCCTCCTGACAATACTTGTGTTCTCTCAACAGGGCCAGGTCATCCAGTTCTAAGCTGTGGGCCACTCTTCTGGGTCAAGTTGTCACAATTTTCAATAAATGTGTTAAAATTAACCATTCTGCTTCTCGGTCATCTTCACTGTGAATATTGTGATGCTCATTATGGAAACCAGCGCAGCAAGCTATACTATTATGGAAACCAGCGCAGCAAGCTATACTGACAAGTTGGTCACCTAAAATAGCAGATCATCTCAACTCTGCACCGATTATAATGAGAAAAGGATTTATTTGTATCATTATTATTATTTTGTCTAGAGAAGAGTCTGTTTTTCAGACCACTGCATTTTAAGGAATCTTTGGTCATGCTTTTTCATGCTGATGGGCATGATGACAAGCAGAGCGGTGCCTGAAGGGTTAACTGACACCTGGTGTCCAATTTGAACCCCGACCTCCTCATACTGGGGCAGAATCTGGGTGATGTTGCAAAGCGGTGTGCACGTCTTCCAGCCAGGAGCCGCTTTTAAGGAGAACCTGCGTGGGCCTCCTATCTCCAGTGCATTGAGTACTGCTATGGCAAGCCAGCCTTGAGACAGAGGTCTCTCCCACACCTCAAAATGGTCCACCTGTAGAACACATAACTTAAATATGATGTAATATTGCACTGTATGAGGTGGTAAAGGTTGCACCTTGGCTGTGCGGTATCCCTGCTTGCCCAGCTCGTCCTGGCTAATGGCGATGATGTGGCGGTTCTGCAGCAGCTCCTTCGAGTGGCGACAGATGGACCTCAGGTCATTGGACATGAGCAGTGGTGCCGCCATGATGGCCCATAGCGCCATTTGGGACTCTTGCTGGTCACGACTCAGGCCAAAGTTCCCAATCACCAGCTGGAGGCAAGCGCACGTCTTAGGACATTAGCTGTAGGCTTGAAGCAAACATGGTCATACCATATCTGGGTCATTCCAGCCGCCGGGACCAGCTGAGGGGACAATAATGTCCTGGTGAGTAGCAGTCCAGTCCAAGATGGACTTGACGCTGCTCCATGAATCGTAGGCGTCTGCGAAATTGCGCCACTGGTTGCACGTCTCTGCAATGGTGTTGTAGTTAGGCTGGTGGGGTCACAAAAAGGATTCAACCTGAACCATGTCTTGGTGGTCCAAGTCCAGAATTGGTATGTTTGGGGTCAGGTGTTACCTTTTGGGAAGGCCACTCATACAAAGGCCACTCACAGGAATATAGGATGGGTCTTCCAGTTCTGTTCAGTGCTTTGGACATGTTCACATAGCCTGAAGTGGAAGAAATGATAAAACGTGAAAAGAACTCCTTAACTCTGCTGCAGAAAGCGGGTCCAGTGAACCCTCAAAACTTTGTACATCTGAAGTACCTCCGGTCAAATAAGTTTGAGGGAATTCCACAATGCTGGAATTTCAATAGCACTTTCAATTTTTTCCGAAAGGCACAGGTGAATAAATGCCATCTATTCTTCTGCCTCTATTGTGGTTTTATTGTTTTTCTCTTGATTGTAAAGTGTCCTTGAGTGTTGAGAAAGGCGCTTATAAATACAATGTATTATTATTCTATCATAGGACAATTTTCTGAAAATTCAGTTGACTATGTAGAACTGCCTTTGAAAAGCAGTCATCTTCCTACCTTTTTAAAATGTTACTCTTTAATGGCGCAGGCCTGAGGAAAGTTGAAAAAAATCCAGTCTTTTTCAAGCAGTTGCCCCTGACAAGTTACTCCCTTCACAAAGGGAGAAATATAGGAACTTTAAAATAAATGTATTTTACACACCTGCCCCCATCCCCCAGGTCTACCATTTATACAGGGGGTCTTGAACATTTTATAATAATCGGTCCTTTTCACAGTTGGGGCACGAACTTCAACTAAATATCAGATTGCAGAATGACGTGTCACAAGGCAGGTGATGTAAGTTTGGCATGATCCTTATACACACACACATATATATAGAGAGAGAGAGAGAGAGAGGTTAAATAAATTGCTACAAGAATATGAAGATAACTAAGCTTGAAGCATGGCACTGACGTTAAATAGATTTAATTATAAAACACTGTATAAAACCCCCAACTCAAAGGTATTCAAATTCCCTTTGTCCATAGGAGCAAAACTCCAGTGCCGCCCTCACATTTGTGCCACATCCACAAGGTCACGGCGCTCCAAGTTGGGCCAAACTGCAATGGGTCTCTTTGACTGATAAAAACAGCCAACTTAGCGTCCCTGAATAAAAATTGAGTTGGCGCTTCACATTTTTATTTCTTGTATTTGGGCCCACAAATGAACACAAGGCCAGAGAAAACGATGTCCTAGATTTGTATATCACAGAATGGACTCTTGTTGCAAATAACAGGACGATGTGCTTGCCTTCCTCAAGCAAAGTGGTGTCCATGGAGCAGCCGTCAAACTTGAGCAGGTCGACTTCCCACTCAGCAAAAGTCTGGGCGTCTGTGTCGTAGTGAGCCAGGCTGCCAGGGTATCCGGCACAGGTGCTTGTGCCAACATCTGCGTAAATGCCCAATTTAAGACCCTTGGAGTGCACCTGGAACCAAAGCCTTTCATTTCAGACGAACCGTCTCCAGGAGAGGGCAGTGTTGCAATAACAATTATACGTAGATCTCTCAAAGCAGTCCTATATGCACTACGTATACCCAAAGTTAAAATACAACTGAACATTACTTAACAAATCTGCATCATGAAAAATATTCACCTCGCTCTTTTGTAAACAAAGCACTCACATAGTCGGCCAGTTTTTTGATGCCCCCCGGGAACCTGCGGGGGTCCGCTTGCAGGCGCCCCCCGGCGTCTCGACTTTTACTCATCCAGCAGTCGTCAATGCAGACGTACTGGTAGCCGGCTTCCCTCCAGCCCTCTGCCGCCATGACGTCTGCCATCATCATGTACAGACGTTCACTAGAAGAGAAAAAAACATGCTAGAACACATGTAAGCAGCACGATGCCGCAACCACACTGAGTGGCACCTTGATTCATTTTTTGAGGTTTTTTTTTTGCCAACCCCAAACGCTCCAAATGTATTTTTCGTAATCTCTCTATCCCAGCAACGTATTGTGACAGGCACAACAACACGGCAAATTTCTCTTCCACTGGATGACAGACTTAACATATTGAACTTCATACAACAGAATACTGTAGTTTTGTGTTAAACTAAATAAGCCCATAGTTCACACAAAATGAAATTGTGCGGAATTTGTGATTATCTGTTTGGTTTTCCAGTGTTGTTTGTTTTGTTCAACGTAACGTCACCATGTCGTGGTTAGGGGAATTGTAGGTGAAAGTTTGTCACAAAATAAAAACCTTGTTTCCGCCCGGTTTCGAACCGGGGACCTTTCGCGTGTGAGGCGAACGTGATAACCACTACACTACGGAAACTGACGTGCTGCACTCTGGTAGAGAAAATTAAAATAAATCCCTTCACCAAAGATTTGTCGAAAACTTGTTTCCGCCCGGTTTCGAACCGGGGACCTTTCGCGTGTGAGGCGAACGTGATAACCACTACACTACGGAAACTGACATACAAGCAGTCATTCAAGGGAATTATAAGGACATCCCACAGAATATTTGCCACAAAAAGCTGTTTCCGGCCGGTTTCAAAACGGGGACCTTTCGTGTGTGGAGCTCCAAGTGATCCGAAATAGGTCGGATTTAATCAATTTTCCCGGCTTGGATTATCGAGCGCTCGGCAGAATTCTGCGACGTATCGCCCCCCCCCCCCCCCATGCTTACTAATGTCGCGTCTACCCCAGCCTCCCAATTGGATATTTCATGACCAGTTTATGCGCTGACTGTTTGTGATCATAAAAGACTTTGTAACGAACTACATCCAGTTTCCGTAGTGTAGTGGTTATCACGTTCGCCTCACACGCGAAAGGTCCCCGGTTCGAAACCGGGCGGAAACAGCGTTTTCATTTTGTGATAATTGCAGGTTGCAAATACACCCATTATAATATCAATATTCTATTTCCCCAGCCTTACTTCAAGACTTGTACCTCACCTTATGCAGTTATCCGGATCGGCGTCGCAGTTGGTGTTACACATGAACCTCTCCCAGTGCAGCCAACCCATCGTGGGGGTCCTCGCTAGGCCGTTGTCGAGAGGTTTGGTGCGGCCCCATAAACCCACAAAAAACAGCATCCACACACTGGCTGTCAAGGACATATTTAATTTTTATTTCTCCTGCATAGCATTACATGAGCCGGCTACCCTTGTTTTGTCTACTTCCTAGTTGTGGTGTTTCTCCACCTGACACAAATCTTACCCAATGAAGTTGAAGCTTGTTTTGAAATATCCAATAAGATTTCACCGACACTTTCAACTAGGAAGCATGGAATCCACGACAGCGACGACACCAAAAACACTACACGAGTGATGTTGTATCTTGATATGTGTGTTTAATTTGTCCATTGATCAAGCTTGTAACTCATTTTATTTCAGTTCACTTATATTTCAAATACACGTTCCCCATTGAAATGAATTGAAGTGCCATCAGTTTAAAAAATTTACATGAAATTACCAGTAATTTCCCAAGAAGATGTTTCTTAATTTTATAGTGTGAGTATTGGCTCTGCTGCTTCCACTCATTTGAGTGTTATTTATTAATGTATTTATTTATTAACTAATCTGAACCATAGTACCATCAGATTCATAGTAAAAGAGTGTCAGTTACAGACTGGCATGCCCGCAATCCAGACTTGTCTCCCAATGAATATGCATGGCGCATTATTAAGTACAAAATACGACGAGAGATCCCTGACTATTAAAAAGCTGAATCTGTACATCAATCAAGAATGAGGAAGAATTCCATCTACATAGCTTCAACAATTTGTGTCCTCAGTTCCCACACGTTTACTGAATGTTGTTAAAAGAAAAGGTGATGTAACACAGGGGTAAACATGTCCAGCTTTTTGGGGAAAATGTTGCAGCCATAAAATTCTAAGTTAATGATTATTTGCTCAAACAACTTTATCAGTTTGAACATATAATATCTTGTCACGTAGTGTATTTAAATTAAGGTTGAACATAATTTGGAACACATTGTTTTCTGTTTTTATTCACAACACAATGCCCGACTTCATTGGAACTGGGTTTGTAGATTCATCAACGAGGATGGGGGAAGGGCTAAGCGAAGGCCAGTGTCCAAAACGCAGCACCTCCCTGCCATTGTCAAAAAAAGAACTTGGTGCCCGCCACCGAAACGTTTTTTTAATTGCATGTTGACGCCACAAGATTCTTTTTACACATGTGTAGTCGTCCACAAAGCCTCATGTGTCAATACATTATTGTACATCCTCTCTGACTAGATGCAAAAGAACACCAAACGTGACATTTGCAAAATGTCGCATGACCAGAGGCCTCCACCAGGGACAGGCCTGATGCAAACCATTTGTCACTTGCTATAGTTCATATGAGATCCAGTGAGTGAAGGCGCCGAGGTTCTAAATGTCAGATTTCAATTTGACACGCTGGCCTCTGCATGATAGATGGATGGATGCATCTTTTGGATGTGTTATTTTGTGCTTGTAAAAACAAACAAACAAGCAACCGATCTGTTGAGCTTCTTTTGTAACCACACAGCACTGCTGTTAATTGAGAGTGGTGACAGATTACTTTGGTTTTTCTGCCCTAAGGACTCCGACGGCCATCCATCGCCTTCCCTTTTCTTGGTCGCCGTCCCGTAATTGAAGGGGACGTCACGGATCGCTTGTGTCGGCACATTTTTGAAGAAGCTTTGCACTTTTGTGATCTGTCATGACAGATGCAAAAGTTGCTCTTCTGTAAATACATCACCTGACAATATAAAGCTCCATCCATTTTCCAAACCGTTTTTTTCCTCATTAGATTGGCGGGTGAGCTGGAATCAATCCAGCTGCCTTTTGTGCAAGAAGTGTACACACTGGAGTAGACTTAATTTTGGTGTGATTTTAGTGTATTTGTTCGAGGCACAGCCAGACAAATTTGGTGCACCAGACATCTGTTTCATTCATAGGTATGACAACAATGTGGGCCAATCTCTCTAATTGATTGGAGTGGCCATGGGTGCAAGGCGGTCTCCAATCGCCCACGTCACATTCGGGGCCGACTACAACAAAAGGAGATCTTGTCGTTTGTGTGCCAATGTCATGCACAGATGTTTACTAAGCTGAAGTCTCTTGATATTTACCGTTAAGCACAGGGTTGTATTAGTCTGGGATTTGTCATTATGGTTCGTATTTATTTAGTTTTGACATTTTCTCTTTAAATTACTGTTGGTATTTAGAGTGTGTTCGTCAGTTTTAGAATTTAAAAAAAAAAAAAAAAAAAAGCTTCCCTTTGGTTTAGTTTTTATCAGTTTTGGTATTAGTTTTTTTTTTTTTTTTTTTTTAATCCAGAGTGTTTGTCAAGTGCAAGATGAAATAAAAAAAGTCATTTTTTGTAATAAAACAAACTATAATTCCCAAATGTTCAACCTTCCTTCTTCCATACGGCCATCCTCGTCTCAAAACTCTTTTGTCTTCTATAGCATTTGACACGGCATCATTCAGACTTGATCTTGACGTCTTACTGTTTGGTGCTTTCTACCGTCTTTGTTATTAATTTGTTGTTTTATTGTTGTATGTATGATATTTGCTCCATGTACAGCACTTTGCATACAGCCATGGTTGTTTTAAAGTGCTCCATAAATACAGTTGAGTTGAGTTGAGATACAATTAACAAATACATTTAATAAACCCTGAAAGCGCTTTAGTCAATTTTATAAACGTGAAAAGTAGTTTCATTTTGGTGTTATTGCAAAGTACTCTCACATTTATTTTATTTTGTTAATGAACATTTTTTTTTTCATTTTAGTTCTTGTTACTTCATTAGTTTTTGGTAACTATTAACTTTGGTTGCGTATGACAACCTTTTGGTGCGTTTGGAGGTTCTACTGTATGGTATATGTTTATTTTCGATGAAATTTTTTCTCTCTTTCGGATGAACACAAATAATGTCGCGCTGCTGCTCCTTACCTCATAGATTGCATCATGTTGTTGCCATGTTCAGAGATGAAAGTCATAAAACAGCCCAGGAGGGGAGCGGGTTATCCACTTCTCCTTTCATCCCAGACCCTTTAGATTTTTAACACCAAGTGCTCTATGTTTATATGCGTTGCCATCTCATTTGACCTTAATAGAAAAAAAAGCATGTGTGTATGTCAGCAATAAAAGGGGGCTTCTTTATGAATTTCAAAAGGCTTCCATGCACCAAAAAAATGTCGAAGATGCAGCATTTTATGACCTGCATCACCATGGTAACTAGGCATCCCAGATCCCATGATAGCAATTCCATGTTGCTCCACACGTACGCCCCGCTGTTTACAGACCTGAGGGCCTCTGCTCATTACTCGGTTACACTTGAAGCCAGTGGCAAATGAATAATTAGGTTGAGCTCATGATAAGAAAAGCATTGAATCTGGAATTTAGTGCAAATGGCCCCGAATGAACAACAGTATATCACATTCTTTATATGTATAAAAATATACAATCTTACTGGTATTTTAAAATATATGTCAAGTACCACTGGAGGCTATAACAATACAAAATAACTACTGTATTGTGGAGAAAATCTATGAAGTAAAATCAGTACTCATCACTGTAGTTACATAATTTATGTCAACGACACTGCCAACACTGTAGTGCCCACGGATAAACCCAATTTTTTTGTAATACTCATGACCATTGCCTATTAAGTGACCTCCAAACTGTCTACCCTGCTTCTTTCCCAAAGTCAGCCAGGATAGACTCTCACCGACAATGACCCAAATAAACAGTGTAGAAAATGGGTGACTTGACGATAGTGATCTCAGTTATTGTAGTCCCAAAAATTAGAGGCCCAATTATTTCGTTCTAATGACTGCAGTTCGCTGCATGTCGGTGGTAGTTCCCAAATGTTGAATCCCCCACAACTATCGTCCCACTGATTGTGGTCCCCAGGACTGTAGTCCTGCATCGTGAGTCAGACTTGACTGTGGCATGGGTTCCTGTCAGTGCTTTTGTCAGGGTTCAAAACATTCAACAAGGAAAACATTCCTCCTGGTTTTGAATCCTATTTAGTTCTTTTTCTTTTAAACGAGATGACTGTTCGATAACAGCGTATATCCGACAGCCAAATCAAGAGGCTTCAGATAACTTCAAGTCAAATGTCAGAGTGTCTTTCTTTGGTCACCACTCAGCTGACAGAGAAAGTCATTGTGACCTTGTCCCTGATTTCAAAGCAGAACTGTGCTCATGCTATGCGCTGCGACTGCTACAATCTCACTGCAGTGCAATTGTAGTGAGCGTGGATTCATCCCGTTCTCAACAGGAATGTACAGAACAAAAATATCCTGCCATCAAAGAGGTTCTCTGCCCCCCAATCATTTTCTGCTCGCTTCGGGCTGTAGCTTCACCCATCTCAGCACATGAGGATCAACAACAAGAATGGCAGATTGCGGATCAAGACCTCAACCAACCTTTCGCATATTGGTCAATACTAGACAAGACTGTATTGTTGCTTTAGTTTCGAAACAAAAGTAGAAGGCCGTTGCGATGTGCTGTGCATTGGGTCAATTGCTCTTGTTTTCTTTTGAACCTTCACGTAAATTTCAGCATGCTAATACATTAAAAAAAAGGCCGTGAGACAAGAAAGCCCCGACAGGACTAAGCTTTTGTATTTTTTAGCAGCTCTTGTGTGTGAGAGGTGAAACAGAGTCGTTTTGAAACTAATTTAATGTGAGAAAGAAGTCAAGGAAGCGGACTGACAGGGTCTTACAGGTTCAGCTTTGTTTTTGACCGAACCAGTCAAAAAAAAAAAAAAAAAGCACAAGATAGAGAGGCTAACCTTACAAAGCATCACAATTCATTATCATGCTGTCTTCGGCTTTCTCGGGGAATACGTGGTATTTGAACAAGAGACTTTTTATTTCAACGCTGGCCCTCTTTTAATTAGCACCGACTGACCTTTTTGACTGTCAGCTTGTGTCACCCTTCTTAAAAAGGAAACAACTCTTCTGGGATGTTTTTTTACTCCAAATGAATGGAGGCTCCACCAAGATTACAAGTCTGATGGCAAACTTTTGTGCATAAATATGTCAGATTTCTTTTGAGCAATTGGATGAGCGCGTCTGGATAATATTGAGTTTTTGGAATTCGGAAGGAAGCCGTCAGTACCTGAAGAAAACCCAAACAAACATGAGGAGAAGAAGTAAACTGCACAAAGAAAGGACAGAGCTGGTA